ATAATTATAAAAGAAAAAGATGCTTATACATATATATTCAAGCTCCTTAACAGCTGGTGCTTCTAGTCATAAGAAAATATCAAAATCATCGAATCGTATGCTGAGGGCTTACTATTCAGATAATGTTAGTTTTTCTTTTAATGTTTAGTGAAATTACGTGTCGAATTTACCAATAATCAAATATCTCGGTTCTCGGGAATATATATTTAAATATGTAGAAAATTCTTTTTGGCGTTTGTGCATTCAATGAATTGTTTTTTGTTGCATTATACCTTTTATCATTTGAAGAGGATCCTACTTGTGAGTTTTAATTCAATCAAGTTATTATTTTTGACCTTTTATAACTAATAATTTAATAATTTTATATTTGAAAAGTCCCAGAATGGAGCGTCTTTCCTCTTTATGTTCTTGCAATAAGCTCATTTCCTATTTGTGCCATCAAACAGGTGATTAACATAATTCAATTGGTGGGGGCAAGCCAGAGTTTGGCAAAAGTTGATGTAGAAGATCGAAAAAAGGCACTTAAAAACATTTGAGAAGGTAACCAAGCGACTTAAATGTATAATTTAATACTTGTATAGTTATTACATCTATTTTTTTTTTCTTTTTTTTTTTGAGAAAATGCAGGAAAGTTATTATTTATTTGTTATTATTATTGGGCTACCATCTACATGGAAGCTAGTATCTTGACTATGCATTAATTAATGACTACTGAGATCCAAAGATATTAATAATTGAAATACGATTGTCCATGATGGGTAAACAGAGGAGAGATAACATAACAAACAAGTGGTAGTAGATCTATATAAGATGTTAGAACTAGTTAGGGATTCGTCAATTAATACAAATAAGCAACAGAAATAACATGTGCGTACCTATCTGTGACCATGTCTAGAACTGCACCAAATTTACTACCTACATATAATGAAAAAAATAACTATGATCCAATGTTTAGACTTAAAACTCAAGCTATTACGGAAACACATACATTGATTAAAATATCTGGCAGCGTTACCGTCCACAGCATCTAGCAAACATGAAACCGTGTATAACCCCATACACGTCCAAGGCGAGAATGGCATGTAATACAAGGAAAGTATGGCAAGAATGACTCGGGTATAGCCTGATTTATGAAGTTTATGAAATCCGATCTAGATAGTTAGTAAAGCTAAGAAAAATATTGCAACTTTCCTGGATTTATAATCAAAATTAAAGATCGCAAATTCAAACTCGATTGTACTTACCTATAACATTTGGCACGAACAAGAAAACATTTTGTGATTGCAGTATAGACAGCGTTTGCTGCTTTGTTTTATTTTCCATGTAAATGTTTGTAATCAAATTTTTTCTTAAAAAAAAAGAAATATTATCCTAACTTTTTGAAAAATTGAAACTTTTCAGAAATTGAAGCCTTTAAATAAATAACGCAAATAAAACATAGAACAGACATTTTAAACTGACGCTGTTAATGATTGATTGGACAGGTTTTATTTATGTGGCCACAATAACAGATACAGTTTTTTATCTATAGTTAAATTTATAAAAATCTGCAAATCTGCATATATTAATGATAAAAAAATCGCACAGTACTTGTTTCTCATGTTGAAAACATAAGCCTTATTATTGTGTCGATGATTTTATTTAAACCACTTTAAGGCAGTATCGACTACTGACTCATTTGCTCTTCTTTCGTTCTCTTTTTGTCCTTGCTATATGCTTTATTCATAACATAAAATATGCGCCCACTTGCCATTTTTTTCATCTTGATCTCTCTAATTATTTTACCTACACTTCTTTATCTAAATTATACTGATGTTATTCTTAATGAACGGCTGCTACCCGACTTTAATGAACAGATAAATGACTCGGTATCTGAAATACCTGAAATACCTGAAGTTTCTTTCGAAGTAATTCATGGGCCGGTTGTTATGCCAGAATTAAAAAACGACACCATAAAGTATGTATGCAAAATTTTGAGATTAATTATTTAGATTTCATTAAAATTAACGTAATCAAAACCGAACTTGATAGAGCTGAGCTCGGACGTGGAACTTGGAAGGTATAACGGCTTTTTACTACTCAAGAGTATCGATATAAACTTATTTACGTCACTATTTATGACTCGATTGGGCTTTTTTTATAAATCGTTGTTTGACTTAATTTTTTATATATAGCGATAGGATATAACTAAGTGACGTAAATAAGTTTTCATACCCAGAGGATCATGTGATCCGGAAATTCCATGTTCCTCTAACAATTATCTATTTCAGTTTCTTCATACTATGATGGCACGATTCCCGGAGAATCCGACCACAAGCGAAAAAGAAGCGTTGCGCAATTTCATTTATTTGTTCAGTAGGCTATATCCTTGCGGTGAATGGTGAGCATAATAACAAATATTTTATGGGGATCCATATTTATATTATATATTTACTTTTTAGTGCAACGGAATTTCAAACACTTTTGGAAAAATATCCACCTCAAGTTTCCTCTAGAGAAGCCGCATCTCAATGGGCTTGCGCTATTCATAATATTGTCAATGTACGTTTAGAGAAAGAAATATTCGATTGTAGCCTAATCGCTGATAAATATAAGTGCGGGTGCGATGATGAAAACAATAATGAAATAGATGATTTTACTATTGATTCTACTGTGAATCCTACTACTATTCCTACAGACGTTTAATTACATATTTTTTTAAAAAAAAAATGGTATTAATTGTAGTTGCATTTAATTACATGAAGATACAATTTAGACAATAAATTTGTTTTTAGAAAATTGAAATAATTTTCAAATTATTAATCAGTTATCGGTTTCATTGGTGATACAATAGAATAGTTGGCACGGCAAATGTTCTTGACATACCATTAATTATAACAATATAGATATAATATATATACGTATATATATAGAGATATTGAATATTCTTTAGATTATGTAGAATTTGGCATGCATACAAATTTTTTCGTGCCTTATTATCACGATAAATTCGAAAGAAGAGAAGTACCACCACCACCACCATTGTTAATAGATCTGAACTTGGGTGTAAGGCCAGACAATATAACACCCTTTATTTTTGAAAATTTTGTAAAATATTAACCAATCAAATTTCATAGACAGAAGTTCGTCTGATTGGCTAATCAATTCAATTTAATTTTACATTATTTATACAGTTTAGAGTACCAACCATAATAAAGTAAAAAAAAAAACTATATAGAATGTTTCATTAGAGCTGTAGGACTCCATAGTCAAAAATAAGATCTAATTCTCGTCTGTTTAAAAAAATTAGCTTAGAAATAAGTTATTTTGAGAAATTATTACTATACTAACTGACGAGAATTAGATCTTATTTTTGGCTATGGAGTTCTACAGTTTTTTTTATTTCATTATTTTCGTTTTTTTAAAAAGTACTCTAAACTGTATAAATAATGTAAAATTAAATTGAATTTATTAGCCAATCAGACAAACTTCTGCCTATGAAATCAAAGAAATCAAATTGCGTACATACGTACGTATCAGTTTTTTATAATTTTTACTTTTTTTACAACCAATAGAATTACTGTTTTAATTTATTTGGAGTGGTCTAATTTGATATACAAAAGCCTAATTATACTTTTTATTAATAAACTGCAGCGTTAATCACCTCTAAACCTTTCTGATCTTGGACTTGAGCTTTTCAAGATATTAACTATATTTGTATCATTTAAATTTTTTTTTTAAAAGCCAGAAAAGTTATATAATCCCGATCCTGATGTCCGGTGCAGGCATTAGCATTAAGTTATATTAATCCACACATACGTACGTACAAAAGCGTTATAAAAATTTTAAATTCTTTTACTTAACTAGCAATAATCATCGCCACCTATGATGAAAAACATGAAGAACGGAAATCTAGAATCGGAGCGGTAGTTAAAAGATCACCTGATCCAAATGTTAGGAATTTTTTTTTGTTAGGAAATAGTGGTTCTTATAAGTTGAACCCGGATTGAATCGTGCGTTAGAGAAGGTTTATATAGTACTTACCTAAACTTGGGGGGAGGGGTACTGAAAAATTAATTGCAACTTAATTATTATATAATTATAATTGATTAAAATTGTTATTATATCTAATTAATAATGAAAATAATTTTTTTTACTATAAATTTTGCTAAGATATAAAGTTTTGGATTTTAAAATATTCAAAAAAAATTAATTACCAAAAT